AAACCCAGCCGACGCCGAGGCGAGAACGCCAAACGCCTGTAGGCGGTCCAGCAACAACAAGTGTTGAGTAGCTGGCAGTCAAAAGCGAACAACAGCAAGCAAGCATAAGCCGGGCCACGGAATCCCACTTCACCCACGCATCCAAGAACTGTGTCAGACCGTTCGGCCCCCAACTCTAATATGCCGCTAGCCTCTCCCCTGGGAGGCTCTCGTCGCCACGGCCAAATTCGCTTCGGAATCTTTGTCAGAACGCACCCAAGGAGAGGTCCGGGAATCGGCGTGGGAATCCGAAGTCGACTCTCGTCGATCCACGATTCCGGCAATTCGATGAGCGGCAGGGGCAGGCTTCAGAATTCGCCGCACACGTGGCGAAAGCCGAACCTTACCCCCGCCTCCCATCGATTCAGGAGAATCGATGGTTCGTGGGGGTAGGGGTTTCGATGTCGCCACCTAGAGGAGCAGTGGTATCGGTGCCTTTTGCTTTCCCCAGCAGGGACGCCGCCGAGCCGCCGGCGAGCACCGTCCCCGCCGTGGAGCGCGGCGCGGTGTCTGGCTAGCCGGGCGCCTGCCGGCCCGCTGTTTGCGGCCGTGCCGTCTTTGGGGGCCTGGGGGGAGTGTCTCACAGAGGAGGGCGAGTCGAGACAACGGTGGTTGGCCTACGGTGGGCTCCGTCGTTCGGTAGCAAATCATGGGAGCTTTGTGTGTCATTGTGGCTTGGTCTGTCGACTTCATTCGCGTGCGCTAGCGTGTGATCATCGACGAGAAAGCGCCGATCAGCGTCGATTAGCGCCGAATTAGCGTCGACTAGCGTCGATTCGCAAGAACCAGCGAGATGATCTGGGAGGCTCCCATGGGTTGCCGCAGAAGAGGAGGGCGAGTTGAAACAACGGTAGTTGGCCTTCGGGGGGCACCCTCGTCGCCACGGCTGGACGCAGCTCGGCAAGCTGGTGCGTTTGGTCCCACGGAGGGGTCCAGGGGCCGATTTTGAGCTGCCGTTGTCTCAACTCGCCTTGCTCCGAGTCTCTGGGGAGCTCCGCGGGCCGCTGTGGGTGGGTGGGTGGGGGCCTCTGGACGGGGGCCTCCGCGGGGTCTCAGTGAGAGCTCTCGGGGCCCGTGGGTGGAGAAGGTCAGCGGCCACCAGCCCAGCGCATCCTTTGCTTCAAGATTCTCGGCAAGTTGGTCTTTCCCCCTCAGGAGCGCGGGGCGCGCCCAGGGATTATTCGGGCAGACCGGGTGTCCGGGGCCCGATGGGAGCCGCAGAATCCTTTAGCACCCTGTGCTCACAGTGGCATGCGCCCTGAGGCGCTCCACTCACTACGTGCGTGCTCGAGGCACGGTGGCGGATGTGTTGAGTTCCGCTGAGGTGGAGCGCCACCAAAAGCGGCACAACTATTCCGAGGAGGTCCTCGGGCATTGGGGTCGCATCGTCGCTGGCCTAGAGGAGATGCGCAGCTCTGGAATGTCTCAGTTGCACAGCACATGGATCGACGCCAAAGCGTTCACCCTCTTCGTCGCCAACCCGGCGCACGACGTGAAGAGAGGCAGCGAGAGGTCACCACACACACCGGGCGGCTCGTTGGCGCTGGGCCGTAATTTCGAGTTTCATAGGAGCTCGCAGCAGTCGAGTAAACGTCCATCCCTGCATGAGGATCGAGGAAGAAGTATCGGCATGCACATAAACATTCAGAGCTCCGCGTGGATTTCTTGGATCGGGGCTGGAACCCCCTTGCGGCGCCTCCGCCGCCGCCCCCGGTGCGCTCCGCGCGCCAGTGAGCGGGGGAACACCGCCGATCCAGGAATCCGCGCGGACCTCCGAAAGCTGATGTTCGTGACGCTTCTTTTTTTCTGGAGGAGTGCGAGGTGGACGGGCCAGGCCAGGCCTGGGAGGCCATCCGTTTTGTGCTCCTCGTTGTCCTCCACCCTTTCACCAAGTTTCGGATTCTGTGGGACCTCGTGGGCATGGTGTTCTGCCTCTACGACGTGACGATGCTTCCGGCGCAGGTGTTCGAGTTTCCTGAAGGCTACCTCGTCATCCGCTGGTATTACGATTGGATCTCTGGTTCTTTTTGGTCACTCGACATTTTGCTGAACTTCAGCACGGGTTATCAAAGACGCCTGCGGGGAATCACCGCCGCCCCGTGCCATTTTGGATACGCCTAAGTGGCCAAACGTTTGGGCAAAGTTTGGCCACGCTATTATTGGATCATGCGTTCCCCCAGCCTTTGTGGAAGCCCTTCGGGGACCACGTGGGGGAGGAAGAGGAGGATGAGGAGAGCGAGGATAACGGAGGATGAGAAGAGGGATGAGGAGACCTCTTGGGAGCGTCTTGGGTCATTCCTGGGGCTTCCCTGGGAGCTTCTCGGTGGCCTCTTGGAGGCCTCTTGGGGTCCTCCTTGGGCCTCTTGGAGGCCTTTGGAAGCTTCTCAGGGGCCTCTTTGGCCGTCTTACGGCGTTCCTGGCCCGTCTGACTCCGTCGGAAGCCGTCTTGGAAGCCTGCCTGGGCCGTCTTGGGGCCCTTTTGGGGCGTTTCAGGGTCGTCTTGAAGGGCGTCTTGGGCGTCTTGGAGGCCTCTTGGGCCGTCTTGGGGTCCTTCGGGGGCCGTCTTGAGAGCCTCTTTGGCCGTCCTGGGGCCATCTTGAGACCTCTTTAGCGATCTTGGGGCGATCTTGGGGGCCTCTTGGGCCGTCTTCGGCCGTTGGAAGGCCGTTTTGAATCAAATCCCAACATCCTTGTACAACCTAAGGACAATGAATGATTTTGGCCTCTTCGATTTGGACAATGAGCTCTGAATAATTTGAGCTCTTCGGGTGGCCGGCGGGTTGGGCCGAAACCCCATTAGGCTTAAAAATAATCAAGAACCACCAAAGTTTCAGCACGCCGAGCACCCCTGTGGCAAGCCAACAGGGGGCGGCGGATCCAGTTGCCTTCGGCCCATCTCGCCACCGTGCCTAGGTCGTGGACAAGTGCCCTCTTCCAGGTGTCGTGTGGTCTCTTGGGAGGCCTCTTGGGAGCCTCTTGGAAGTCTCTTGTAGACCTCTTGGGGGCTTCTTGAGGGCCTCTGGGGGCCTTCCAGGGGTCTGCTGGTGGTCTAGGGGGCTGTCTTGTGGGGAGTGCTCGATATGTCAGTTCGGATTGTTCCCATCTTCTGGCCTCGGGGGCCGTTCTGGGGGGATCTTGGGGGCCCCGGGGCCACTGAGACGGCCCATGTTCTCGCTCTCGATACCTCGGAAAGTCACGCGGCGATTCCCAATAACTCCCGGGAGCGACCGAGAATTCCGGGAACGTGGGGTTTGGGGCGCCTGCAGAGCACGCAGAATCCTTGACATTGAGACCTCGAAGAGACCTGAGGACCCGAGGACAGTCCTTTCAGTGCATCCCGGCACGGTGGCGGATATATCCACAGATGGTTTAGTCGAAATGCGAAAGGACAAGGTGGCGTCGCACTACATCCGCTCGTGGTTTGTCCCAGACCTGATCATCACGATATTCGGATGGTTTTCCATCTTCCTCAGCATCAGCAACTCCGGGATATTTCGCTTTGGCAAGGCGGCCTCGCGATCCTTGAGGGCGCTGCGGCTCTTGCGGATGCCCAAGATCAACGCCTCGTTCAACCAGATACTGAGCTCGATGAACTCGGAGAGCCTGACCATACTAGGAGGCCTCGTCAAGTTCCTGGTGATCCTGATTCTGGTGACCCACTACGTGGCGTGCGTGTGGTATTGGTTGGCCGATGCAGACGGCCACACCTGGAAGGACCGCTTTATGGACTCTGGCGATTCCGAGATGTACGGCTATTTTATCCTGGAGGTGTACGCCATTCCGCCGACCCCACAGGGGATTCGTGATGACGTCCTTGGATGCCGGGGTGCTTTGGGGTTGGTGGGTGGAGGAGGGGGAGGAGCGATATGATGTGGAGGGGAAGGAAGAGGAAGAACCCTTGGGGAGAGGAGGAGGAGGAGGAGCAGGAGCTGCAGGAAAATGAGTGAACGAGGTCAGGGGTGGAGAAGGTACTCGCCTGGAGTGGCCATCCGTGTTTGTGTTGCGAGAGAATCTGGAGAGACGCGATGTTCGCCCAATGAGCGCGCCTCATGGGCAGGGCGAGTGGTCGGCAAGGCTGCGGCCTCGATGCGCTTGTCCTGGATTGCAGTCTTCAGGCCAACCTCTGTGGCTCTCTGGGGGCCATCCTGTGTCCCTCTGGGGCCTTTCCTGGAGCACAGAGTGCCTTCCTCGGGCCTTTTTTCGGACCCTCTTGGGTTGTTCTCTGGGTCCTATCGGTGTCCCCGATTGTTCTTTCTCTTGCTGCTGCAGCGTTGCAGAAGATGTTGTAATGTATCAGTGCGACTTGTCGTCTTCCGTGTGCGTCCTTGCCTCAAGGTGTCGAGTGGGACAGCCCTCGATTGAGGCATGCTGAATTGGGCTAGGTGCAGCCACATCAGGAGAGCTTGATTTCGTACAGTTGCGTCCTCGATTGGGCCCGATCGGGACAGTGTAGTAATTTCCTGGGGGCATGTCAGAACCCCCTCGCAGCGACTTTGCCCTGCCAAGGCTGGTCGCGGGCCTTGTTGGGCTCTCGTGCTCCTGTTGGGTTTCTTCGGCACCCTCCTGGGGCCCTTTTTGGGCTGCCCTTGGGCAGTCTTAAGGCTTCCAAGGTGGCCTCCATGTAAGCTCGGAGCAATCTCGGCATCACACGGAACCGTCGTCGAGGCAGTCTTTGAGGCCACTTTTTGTGCCATCTTCGGCGTTCTTTGAGCCCGTCTTGGGCTATCTGGGGTCGAATCGCAGACCTATGTGACAAGTTCTTGGGCCTGCCAGTTTGGGGGTACGGCCTGGGATGCTCATTGAGCTCCCCCCTGAATGATGTTTTGGGCCCCCAGGGAGGATGAAGGGGACAGCCAACCCTCTCGCACGCCTTCCACCCCTGGCAAGCGGAGGCCGGCGGACATCCATGCACTGGGCCCTCACGCAGTTCACGCCCGCATCTATGGAGGTCGTGCCAGTGAACGTCAATGAGCGTCTGTTTACTTGCATCGTCATCATCTTTGCCATGGTGGTCTTCTCTTCGTTCGTGTCGAGCATCACTCAGGCGATGACCCTCCTCCGATCGACCCACGCGCGGAGGGTAGAGCAGGAGCAGCTCATGCGAAAGTACTTCAATGAGTTCTGCATCCCTCGGGAGCTCGCCGCTCGCTGCAAGTACTTCCTGCTCCAGCACCAGCGCATGGCGAACAAGCGCGTCAGGGAGTCGGAGATCCCGAGTATGCTTCTCCTGCCGAAGGCCATCCGCGAGGAGCTGCGCTTCGAGGCGTTCATGCCCTGGCTCAGGACCCACCCGTTCTTCGAATTCTTCATGGAGCTCTGCCCCGTGGGGATGCGGCAGATCTGCGCCAGCGCGACGGACGAGGTGTCGATGCTCCCGCTCGAGGAGCTCTACTGGCACGGCCAGAGCGTGAATCGCATGTTCTTTGTGCGAGTTGGCCGGGTGTCTTATTGCCACAGGGACGCCAAGCTATTGCCCCTGGAGGTCCGAGCGGGACAGTGGGCCTGCGAGGAGACGCTGTGGTCCAAGGTGTCGGTGGTGGAGGGGCCTTTCACGGCGGCCTCTGCCGGCTGTGAGCTCATCACTGTGCTGCCGGCGGAGTTCCATGCGATCGCCAAGTTGCACCCTGGGCCCCTGAGGTTCTGCGTGGGATACGCGGAGGCCTTCATCAGGGGATTCAATAATGCGAGCAAGAATGTGGACTGCGAGGATCTGCTTTTCAACATCCCCGACACGCTTGTAAGTATTATTCGTCAGGCTTGTGGTGGCGATGACACCTTGGATAATCCGCTTCGAAACCTCCTGGGCGGCGCAAAGCGGCTGAAAACCGCGAGGGCAAGCTTTTGGAGAATGGGTAGCACTTTGGGGGCTAGCAAGGCCCAGACCCTTTGGAGGGCTGGAAGCATGAAACCCCTCGCTCGCGCCTACACCACAGCGTTGACGAACGAGGAGGACCCAGTCGAGGACGCGAAATCCTCACCATCGAGAAAGTCACGGACCAAAGTCTTGATCCCAACGGTTTCGACGGTGGACTCGACGAATCTCCAACCCAAGTCGCGCCATTCTTGGCAGGGGTGAGCCTTCTGATTTGAGCGGAGGTCAGGCTGTTTACTCAATTGAGCAATTCTCGTCCCTGCGGGGGCGCGCCAGCGGTGAGACATGAGACTGGCGCGCACAGCCATTCGGTACCGCGCTCTGCGACTAGGGGGCGCCCCGACGGGTTTTTCCAAATAGCCGCCTTCATCTTTTTGCCGACGTGATGCTCAGGCGTGTGCACATTTTCCTTCAAATGGTGCGGTGGTAGTTTAACGAGATAGCGAGCCGAACATTCCGAAATCATGCTATTTTCGGATGGCGGTCACACTGATATAGAGAAACAGCGATGCAATGACATACAACTCGTAAATTTAGTGTGTTGGCAGTAGTAGTCATATTCTTGATGCCGATAGCGGTGCTGCCAGTACTGGTAGGGTAACGGGGTGTAACGCTTGGCATTTTGTTCAAGCGTACTTCTTGAGAGTGCTATCATGACCCAGTGAACTCCATAGTTGTTTTAAGACAACAAATGGGGACTGGACTCAGGCGTTTTCTCACACCTCTATTTCTGCCTTTTCGTTGCTCGTGTATTCGCCTTCTGCGCTGATTTCGAGCTCGCTACCTCAGCCTGTAGGAGAAGGAGAGAAGAACAACCGGGAAAAGGGAACGGAACCCGAGTATTGTCACCATGCTAGTGTTGCGCAGCTCATATTCACTCATATGGCAAATTCAAATTCCAGCGATCGATCGGTTTGAAGTTTGCGTTGTCGCGTGAGTTTCCAGCGAGCAGATCTGGCGTTGCTGTTCCCAGCGTTTCAACAGCATGAGTTCCACATGCAGCTTGCTTTGTTTGTCCAGCCGGGACAAGGACTCTCAATGCTCTTTGTGTTTGCTATGATTTGTGAAACTCGCCCCCGCCCCCCTCTCTCTTGTTATATATATATATATATATATATGCATCTACGATTTTGTCAATATTTGACATCGGGGTGCTGACATCAATGAGACAACAGTCATGATAGCAGCAAGAGGCACCACCACCAGAACTGCACTGAACTCCGTTCCCAAAGACCCCCCCCCACAGGCTGGTGGCACTCCGTTCTGGGCACTCTCTGGGGGCGCGCCTGGAACGGGGTGCCACTAGCTCGGGAGCTCGGGGAGGGGGAGCGGCCAGTCCCCCCCAAGCTGGTGGTGGTTGTTCTTTCTTCTCTGGCTTGGCACCGCTCGGACGCGTGCACGTTTGGGGGAGGCGAGGACCCTCGAGGAAGATCCTGGACATTTTTTTTTGTTGTAAGTGCACGCACGGCGTCGACGAGTCCACGGGGGAATGGACGTCCGAGCGATGGCGAGCTGGTGGGACAAGCTCAGGGACGTGTGTCTGCCGCGAGTCGGGACCACGCCGCGGGATCCCTGCCCCGCGGCAGCTCGCGGGAAGCGCTCCTGGCCTTTGTGTGCCTGCCTGAGACCTCCTTGGCCGTCCGCTTTGCGTTTCGTTGAGGCCCACGAGTCTTGTGGAGGACGATCAATGGAGAGGAAGCATGTTGCCAAATAATTTCCAGATGTCTCAAACACGTGTTACACATGTTTTAGACATGTAAAAAACATGTTTAGAACATTTTCCCACATTTTAGACACATTTTGAATTCAAGGATAGGACTGTCAGGGTGTCCGTTGTCGTGGCATCCACAGCACTGGCCCTCTCCCCGCCCTCGCGGCGACGACGGTAGCGACGACGACGCGTCCCCGGACGAGCTTCTGGTAGAGGAACTTGGGGGCGATCAGTGGGGGGGAGGAGGAGGAGGAGGAGGAGGAGGAGGAGGAGGAGGAGGAGGAGGAGGAGGAGGAGAGGAGGAGGAGGAGGAGGAGGAGGAGGAGGGAGGAGGAGGAGGAGGAGGGAGGAGGAGGAGGAGGAGGAGGAGGGAGGAGGAGGAGGAGGAGGAGGAGGAGGAGGAGGAGGAGGAGGCAGCGAGGGCTGCAGAAAAGGGGCCCTGCAGGGCCCCCCCAAAGGGACCCTTTAGGATCCCCAAGGGGGCCTTCAGGGCCGGAGAAGGCTCTTGCCCCTACTTATGAATGCGCGCCCAAGGGATCTACACCTCATGCGATGCTTAAGAAAACCTAAGTTTTCGGCCAGAGTGTCGATTATTCTTACCGTTTCAATGTAAATCCCAAGATTTTGATCGAAGTTCTGGGTTTTTATTCAAATCCTGAGACTCTGAATTTCTTAACCCATGATTTCTTAAGCATTTCGCAGGATGTATCCACAGGCGTCGACTTGAACGGTGCTTTGGCGACCTCGTGGACCGTTTTCGTGGCGGCTTCATTTTGCAGCAGAGAGGCGGACCGAAGGCAAGACGAGGGACAACGAAGACGAAACGAAAACGGAAGACACTGTTGATCGACCAAAACACAAAGGGACACCACCGCACCCGCGGCCCTCCATGCTGCGCTGCGGCCCACCGGGCGCCGCAGCGCACACCACGCAAGAGCCTGCGCACGATCTCCTGGTACACGCGGAGCCCCCGTGGGGCTTTTGGGCGGGGCAGCGCCGTGTCTTCCCTGGTTCAGTCTGCGCCGCTCCCTGCCCCTCCCCGGCGGCCCCGGCGGGGCGGGGCCCGCGCCCAGCGAGAGGCCGAGCGGCCGAGGCCCCGCCCCCCGGGGAGGCGGGCCGGGGGCCTCGGCGCCCCCGGCGAGCGGCACCGTGTGCGCGAGCGTCCGCGGCGGGAGGGCCGCCTGTCGGGCCGGACGAGAGGGGGGGGGAAAGGGGGGGGTTACGAAATTTGCGGCATGCAGCTGGTTTCGGCCTCACCGAGGGGCCCATTCCTCGATACGTAGCCGCCTCTGGCGCTGGGATGCGCCGGGAGAGTCAGCCACGTGAGCTGATTCTCAGACCCCCCCTTTGCTATCCCCTCCTTTCGCGCGGCCCGAGCCTGGCAGATCGGGCCGAGGTGCAAGATCGGGAGTGTGCCCGGAAACGGTGCCCTGACTCGAGGCCTCCCAGAGGGCGGGGGTCGGAGCAGCTGGGGTCTCGGAGGGCCGCTGCGCGTCGCCGACGCGTCGGCGGTGCGGCTCGCTGTGGAGCCCGACTTTCTCCGCGCTGGCGTCGCCGAAGCGCTGCCGCCGCCGCCGATTCAGCGCCGATGCATCGGCAATGCGTCGGCGACGCGCGCGATCCTCCGACCCTATCTTCTCGGACCTCATCTTAGGGGGCCTCTACTGGTGTTCTTCAAGTTGGTTGGATGTTCTTGTGCATCCTGGAGGTCGGCGATCTTATGGCTTGGGGTGTTGTGGGACGGCGGAGGGTCTCATGTTCTTGAAGGGTGTTATTCTGTCCCAGGTCTGGCCGTACGTTGGGGGCAACGACAGGGGGTGATAGGCACACGGGAGGATGTATCGACCCCCACTTGCCGATGGATCGCCGACAGGGGCCCGATAGCTCCAACCCGCCCAGGAGGGTGCGGTCTCGTCATCGGGGGCTTATCGCCGATGTATCGACGATTCCAGGTCGATGCGTCCCCCTCTATGCCGGTTCCCCCCTATCGCTGCCCCTCTGAAACTGGCTTGGCGCGTACGTCCTCTTCTGGGCTCCCTACAACGAGGGCGGCTCCGGCAGCGGAAGGCGGGCGGAAGGCTGGCGGAAGGCGGCGGAGGTAAGGACGGGGCGTCAATTTTTTGGGGGTTCAGGATTTCTGGAGTCAGCCATGTTTGTCTGATTCTTTGAAGCTCGCACCACCATCGTGCGCTGATCGTGCTCAAAATGCCACGTCCCATGATCTGTCATTGGCGTGCATCGGGTCATTGCTCGGATCTCGGGTCGCTGCTCTCAATGTATTGTTCGTCATTGCGCCGGGGTGCTTCTGGTTAACACTCGTGCTGCTGATGCTCTCTCCCTCACTCTCCCTCTCCCTCTTCCTCTGCCTCTCCCTCTCT